TATATGTGTGTATATATGTGTATGTATATATGTGTATATATGTGTATATATGTGTATATATGTGTATATATGTATATATGTGTATATATATATATGTATATATGTGTATATGTATGTGTGTGTGTGTGTGTGTGTGTATATGAAGTCAGCAATGTTACAGAAGCGTGTGAAAGAGGCATTAGAGTTGACCTCATTCCATTTCAGTAGATACATTTTTACACCCCTCTCCTCAGGTTTACGGAGATAAAGACCCAGACGGGTTCTACCGAGGAGAGTCTGGTGGTCGTCTGGGCTTTGTGCCATGTAACATGGTGTCTGAGATCCAGGTGGAGGATGAGGAGACCCGGCAGCAGCTCCTGCAGCAGGGCTTCTTGTCCACAGCGGCCTCCATGGAGAAGATAGGTAGGTGAAACTGTCACTCTGAGGTTTAACAGCTACCTAAAGATGTGCTTGTTGGCCGATTTCGCACCAAATGACAAACAGTGTGTTCTGTGCAAATTCTTATTATGTTGTGCGCCATTTAATGTCTTCTGTTACAGTTTCAGATTGGTATATTTTGACATCCTTTACCATAGGTGTAATTTGTAATGTTTTACTCATGATTTCACCGCTGTTCATGTTTAAGTGGGAAGTGAAAATAGCAGCACACGTGTTGCAGAATCCACACCTAAAATATCCGTCATTCAGTTCATTTTACTTTTCTGGCCTTCACATTGGCCAGCTGTGTAAAGAGACACGTTCAAAAAGCTGTTTTCCAGATGAGACTTGGATTGGCCTGTTGATCTTTTAACGTTGCAGGAAGCACAAAGAAAGCCCTCATCAAATCAGATTACATTTTGGTTAAAATAAATTAAAATGGACCCAAACATGTTCCCTGAGGCTCTACTTTGTATGCTTTTATGGGTTCTTGTTCACTGTGTTGCTATTAAGGAAATCATAACCATCTATTCTCAGTCACTGACTGCATTTCAAGCAGGTGTCTAAAATGATAAACTCAAGTCAAAGTGTTTGCCTGTGGTGAGTGGTAGCGAGCCACCCAGCAAATTCTTTGCTTCTGTTTCCTGCTTTTTACCCAGAGCGGTATTTGCAGATGGTTTAACCTTTTCCCTTCCGCTTGTTCTCACTGCTGTGTCTGCTGCTCACTGGTTGTCATTTTTAAATTGCTCTTCACTGGCTTTTCATTGTCTACTTTGTCCAGTCTGCTTCTCTCAAAAATTGCACCTCTGTGTTTCTTTTTGGTTTCAATTTTTTATTTTTATTTTTATTTTTGGTTTTCCTTTCTAAAACTCCATAAAGGCACTCGCACACATGCACAGCTTCCGCGTCGCCCTGTTCCACCGCCGAAACCGAGACGATCCAAGAAAGGTGTGTCTCGCTGCAGATTGCGGCTTCCCACCTCTCTCCTTTATTCTCTTCTCTGGTTTGCTTCTCTTTCTGTCTCTTTCACTTGAGCTTTCAGTTGCTGCTTCTTACTCAGAGACCAGGGGGGATTTTTAGGTCAGCTACTGTAGTAATTAAACCAGACAACTTCCCAGCATTAGTAGCTGCAGTAGTTTCATTTTCTATAATTAAGACCTAGTGTTACTTTCTTTATTGGTGCTCATAGGCTCCACAGAGTAACTTCATCTTTCCACAGGTTCACTTTTGATTTTGACAGCTTCACAAACATAAAAAGGCCAATACATGAGTACTGAGTCAGTCCTGTCAGCTTTCATATTTATGTAATACAGTGCAGACATAGCAGCAGAATGTGGCAGTATGTCGCTTATTGATTGAGAAAAAAGTGCCAGTATTCTGCTCCCATGTCACAAATGCATTACATGATCACCTAAAGTTCACTTGTTGAAACATCCATCCCCTCTGATCTCCATCTTTGACTTTGTGAACTGCGGTGTGATGAGACATACTGTAACTTCAGACAGGATTATTCTCATATCATTTTGTGATTGTCCTTACGCCCTTTTCCCTCGTCCTGTCTCTTCCAGTGGAGTCTGCAGCACTCTGGGAGGAGAGCGTAGACTCCTCCAGCCAAGGTTTGTAGTTAGTGCTTTGGCCCTCTGCCTCTCTGCTTGCACCCGCATGATCCGACGACCGCGTCAGTGTCCACTGGGGGACAGCATGTGTTTACTTTCCACTACCTTTGACCTCTTTATTAATGGTTGCACACATGAGGACTGTATTTTAACTGCTGATAACCCCGGGGCTCATCCTTATTAGGGACTGTTTGATTATTTGGGGGTATAGTGACGAAGCTTGACCTTCTTTAAAGATCCTCAATAAAGGATGTTAAACAAAATGCACTTTCTTAGGGTTTTTAAATTATGAAATTTAAAGGAAATAATAAAAAAATAAAAAAAATAAAACTGGTAGCATTAAGTACCAAATCTAATATCTTGTGTTCTTACGTTCTTCATAATACCCCAGTTCTAAATGTCAAGCAGTCCTTTTCTTAACTTACTCTTTTCATTTCACAGTTCAAGTTGCATCATTTAATCATCAAATCATTTCTGTTGTCTTCACGGTTTTGCAGAGTTCAGTACAGTCTTCATCCCACAGCAAATATTTGCTCTGATTAATGGTTAAAAACAGCAGTACATTTGAAAATGCTAACTGTCACTGCTAATCTCCTGTTGTTTTCATTTTTATTTTCACGTGTTTGACTGCAGTGGTGTGACTTTTCCTCAGCTTAGCATGAAGCTGAGTGACATGCAGACACGTTGAGCTGCATGCCGATGAGCTGATTGGAATTGCAGAGAAGTGTTAGTCCTCTAATTATCAGGATGTCACTCATGACTGTACTGTTTGTCCCTCTTTGTTTGACTGACAGATCCCAGCCAGACTGCCGCTGCTGCTCAAGCTGTGGGGAACCTTGCCCCAGGAGCTCGCAGGATGGTCGCCATCTTTGATTATGATCCACGAGAGAGCTCCCCCAACACCGACATAGAGGTCAGACTTGCAGATGCGTGATATCTTTTTTTGAGATAAAGTAATATATATATGTAGTAGTAGTTTTTGCTCATTATCTGACTCGTTTTTTATATATTCAGGCTGAGCTGACCTTCAGTGCAGGAGACATCATACACGTGTTTGGTGACATGGACGAAGATGGCTTCTTCTACGTAAGTGCTGGCAGGACTCTAGAATTTGAAGTGGTCAGATCTGCATATGATAAGATGGAATAAGACTTAATTGCTCCACAGGAGGAAACTATTTGACTGAAATAAATACAATTAAAAGAAGAAATTAAGAAAATTAGAGAGAGAGTATATACAGCTATATACATATTACAGTAGATTACACTATAGGTATTAAAGTAAATAATAAATATAATATACGTAATTTATAAAAAATATAGATTATATATGATACGTCTGTGGCGCAGAGGCAGAGCGGGTCATCCCCTTATCGGAAGGTTGTTGGTTCGATCCCGGCTCTGGTTGCCACATGTCGAAGTATCCTTGAGCAAGATACTGAACCCTGCTACGGTATGCTGAGCCACAAGCATACCGTAGCAGGGCCACAAGTCAGCCAAGAACAACCAGATAAAGCAAAACTTGGTGTTTGGCATACCATGGTAGCATGGTGTAATATATGTGCAGTATATGTAATATACATACACGACATATAAATAACAGAAATTGAAAAGAAAGCCATATAGCATAAAATATATATAAATTATATAAAAATGTATATATATAAAAATAAAAATACAATGATATACAATAGTACGGGGTGGCAGCTAACAATTATTTTTTATCATTGATTAAGACCTGGAACCATTAAATAGTTTTTTTTGCATTTTTGCTTGAAAAACAATTAATTGATTGTCAAAATAGTTTTAGTTAGATTCATTTGCTGTTGATTGACTAATTGTTGCATTTCTATAATATATTATTATTATTATTATACAGTGATATAAGTAACAAAATCAATGTGTGACAAGGTTTTCAGAAAGCAGAAATTTCTGTTGTCTGTAACAATGAAATAAAAACCTGCAGAGCATGGATTTAGTTGAATTACAGGCTTGTTGTTAGAAGCCAGCCTCATCATTTAATGTCGTATTCTTCCTCCAGGGAGACTTGAATGGACACAGGGGCTTAGTGCCCTCCAACTTCCTGCAGGCCTTACCAGAGGATGCTCCAGCAGAACTGGTCTCTGCTCAGCCTGCACCAGAACCCAAGAAAGAATCACAGGTAGCACAGCATGTCTGTCTATCCAGCATGCACCACTGTATATGGAGCTGTGGACCGCCTCATTCATGTGTCATTTTCACAAAGCAGTGACATCAAAAAGTTTTTTTTTTACTGTATTTGTTCATCTCTTGCGAGTATTTCCAGAGTTGCTGTCGTTTTCTGTTCTGTTTCTTTAATTCTGCCCTGTCACATTTTTTTTCACCCTGCTGTTTCCTGCATGGCCTTTTGCAGAAGCAGAAACGAACTGTACACTTTGAGACTTGATCGTAAGTGTTTACAGATGAGACTATAGCAGCTCAGTGATCGACACTAATGTCCCTTCTTCACTCCCTGTTTACGTCCTCTTACCTCCACCTTAGCTGTAGTTCTACACCGCTCCTTTGAGTAGGCTCCTGCACCCACCCGTGGTTTTGGTTTATTAAAACGGATAAAGATCTCAAATCCACCTTTCTGTGTGTGCTGTCCTTGTGTTTCCCTTTGGTATTATAATTGTAATCATAATTAAGCTTTAGATAATGTTTGATTTGCATTAAGACTACAATATATTAGGCACGCCCGTTCTGAAAGTCTTTCTTTCTTCCTGAAGGGTACCTTGACGTCTTCTACAGAGCCACAAGATCCTGGGCCCTCGACACTAGAAGAGGCTTTGGACCCCCAAACAGAACCTACTTTCACTGACCCAACAGAGCGCACAGACCCACAGCCCAAACCGGCAAGCCCCACTGCAAGCCCCACTGCAAGCCCCACATCAGACCTGGACCCTGCTCCAGGTCCAGCTGCAGCGGAGACCTGCTGCTCCCCTCCAGCCCCCCTCCCAGCAACAGACAGCCCGACACAGACTGACTGCTCTGCACAAAGCAAGAAGAAAAAAGGCTTTTTCTCCAAAGGCAAGAAGCTGTTCAAAAAGCTGGGATCCAGCAAGAAAGAATGAGAGTCAGGACATCTGACTCTGAATCCTCGCGTCACATTGAAAGCACTTTTTCTATCTTCACTGTTAGTCTCAGCTGGTAGTCGGCGCTGTTAGTGGCTATCAGATCTAATAACTGATGTTTTATAAATTATACATTTGCCTTAGAGCACTGCTAGACCCGCTGTCAAATTTAGAGTACGTCAGCATACAGCTTACAGCATCACAAGAGCATGTAGAAGCGCATGTTGAAGTGTGCAAACTCACAAATATATCTCTTCCTAATTATCTAAGCATTTGCAAATGTTCAACTCATTAGAGGCTTTAATGCTTGATATAAAACACTTAGTTATTCCTAATGGATCAGATTTATGTAAAACAATCTGATACAGAAGGATGTTGAAAAAGCAGATCAGACTTCAGCCCAGGCACAGCTAATGAAATATTAGCTTTAATGTTCATGTACTGGTGCCACTTTATTTATTTGAAGCGAACGAACAGAAGCAGCAGTCTATCTCTTCCTCTTTGAGACTATAAAGAATGCACTATCCATCCTGAATGGATGTATTTTAAATGTCTGCTTGTCCCTCATGTGTTTCTCGTCTTTAAGAGTATTTATACAGTACTTTGTACAGAACATGTTATTTATTTGTATCAGACTCTTGCCCTAATCGTCACCACATTGCATGAAGTGACATCGGAGCAGGAGGGTAGTCATAGAGAGCTGTCAGAGACGGTGATGATCCACTTTGTGTAGTTTAGATCTAATCTAATGATGGTTTTTGAGGCTTATTGAAGTTGAACATAATGTTTAATGTTGAGAATGTGAAGGCTCGCCCTTCTTTGGTGTGTGTGTGTGTGAGTGAGTGAGTGAGTGAGTGTGTGTGGGTGTGTGGGTGTGTGGGTGTAGATGAAACTGCCCAGTCCACTGGTGAGACTGAAAACAGATGCCTTTCTCAGACATTAACACGGGAACTCTTGATGTTCGTGACCACAGTCACAACTGGCCTAAAATGTTGCATACGACATACTTTCCGTCTGTGTGTGAGTGTGAGAGAGAGAGACCTGCAGCGTGTACAAAACAATGTAGTACCTACCGATTGTTATCTAATAGGGCTGCAACTAATGATTAGTATAAAATCGTTATCAATCCATCCTTTGATTACTTTTTAAAAATATTGTTGGGGGCTTTTATGTCTTTATTTGATAGGACTGAGGAATATAGGCAGAAAAGGGCTGCAGGTCTGACTCTAACTCAGGCCGCTGCGGTAAGGACTCTACCAGGTGAGCTACCATGTGCCCCCTTTTTTGATTATTTTTGTCTATTTATTGATTAATTGTTTGGTCTATAAAACATCAAAAAGCGATGAAACATGCCCACGTTGCCCATATACGTCAAGATATTCAATTTATTATAAAGTATGACAACAAAAATCAGCAAATTCTCACATTTGAGAACCTAAAATCAAATATTAACAATTAATCACAATAATTTTAAATACATTTTTTTCTTAATAAACTAATCCCGGACCCTAACCCACAATTGAAAATAGTTGGATTGTTTCAATAATCAATCGACTAATTGCAGCTCTAAAAAGTTACAATACAGAAAATATTAGTTTGTCCAGATTCAAGTGCAGCAAGGTTCTGTCCTGCTGAGATTAATAACCACAGCAATTAGCAGCGCCATGCTAACCATACAGTCTGTAGGCCTTTGGGGTTCAGTATTGAACGAAGCATGTTGTGTGTTTTTAAATATAACTATATAAAAACTAAGTTTTCAGTTATGGCACTGGTGGTTTGTGGCACTGCTGTACTGTGATAGACTCTGCAATAAGTCTGTTTCTTTTCTTTTTGCCTCCATGTTAAGAGTGTAATGAAGTTCAACATGCGGTGTGTGAATATTGGGTCAGACAGGCTAGAAACAGTGTTAGAACCTCTCCATCAGCCCATGCAGTGTAGTGGTGATGAGTGGTTTAAGCGTAAGTGTGCTGCAATACTAGAACAAAAAAGACAAGCATTCGGTATCTTTCAGTGGTTTGTGACAGCTTTACTGGACTGAAGATGTGTGGATGTGAATGTGTGGAGCAGGCCTTAGTATTCAGTCAGTCAGTCAGTCACAACACATGCAGTGATTGTTCCCTCCATCCGATTGGTTCTTTTATTTGTGTGACACAGGGCTGTTCGGTAACTTCTCAGGTTTAACTTGTAGTTTCTTATTAATGCTGAGCCACCTGTGGACTCAAAAACTGCAGAATATGCCAAAATCTTAGGTGCTTTGCCTGTTACCATAGCTATGTGAGACCAAGCATCTGGTGGCGTGGGGGGGATGTGGGGGATGTGGGGGATGGGGGGGGTGCTACTCTAGTCTGGGTTGAAGCTTTGTTTTGAAGATCAGACTGATTTCGCTCACGTTGTTGAAGTGGTTTGAGTCACACCTGATGACACGAGTTGGAGGCAAATGTTTTTCTTCTAATGTCCTGAATGTTTTCTGTCACTGTTACATAAAGGGAGCATGATCATGCCAAGAATAAACGGGAGGGCGGATTGACAAAGACACTTTAGATGTGAAATAGCCGGGATAGAGGCAAGACTGTATGTTTTTGTTTTATTTATGTTTGTATTTTTATTTTATTTT